TTATAACCCAACGGATGCCCCAAATAGGACGTAGGGAACCTAGCCCAATCGCACAACAAGGAATCAACCCATGCTTTAACTCTGCAATCATCGATATTTATACCAAATAGTTTTGTCTTCTGCATATTAAGTTTCAAACCAGCAACAACCTCAAAATTTTTTAGCACTCAAAACAGACTTTTAATCTTATATTCTTTTGCTTCCGAGAAAATAATAAGATCGTCAGCGTATTGGATGTGAAAGACACCCAATCTTGTAGAACCAATATGGACCCCTCTACACACTTGCAACTCAACAACTTTTATAAATAGCCCACTTAGAGCCTCACCTACAACATTAAACAACAATGGTGACAGCGGGCAGCCTTGCCTAAGTCCTCTTTTGATAGAAAAATATTTCGACGGACATTCGTTAACCAAAACAATAATATTTGGGGACAATACACACATCTTAATCCAACTCCTCCATCTTTTACCAAACCCCATTTTCTTTAGGATCAGAATAAAAAAATCCCAGTCGACGGAATCATAGGCTTTGTTGAAATCCGCTTTTACGATGATTGTTTCTTTCTTATTTTTCCTTAAATCATCAATAACTTCATTAACTATCAAGGAACAGTCTAAAACCTGCTTATCAACCATAAAAGCAAACTGGTTTTCGCCGATCACTTCATTTAAGCAAGACGCCATTTTTTTTGCCAATATGTGTGCCACGATTTTATACATACTCCCCACCAACGATATACGTCTGAATTCTTCAGGATATTCAGCTTGAATTTTCTTTGGAATAAGTGTTATGAACGACTTATTAAAAGAAAAGTCTGAAATATTTCCCCAATAGAAGTCGTCCAAAAACTTCATAACTCCATTTTTGATATCCATCCAAAAATTCTTAAAAAAATTCAAGCTAAAGCCATCCGGTCTCGACGCTCTAGTGTCATTCAAATTTTTTTTATTGTGAACCATATTTCATCTTCCGAAAATGGACTTTCAAGCCACCTTCTGGATACAGAGCTAAGCCTTTTAAACGAAACTCCATACTTCTTAATCGGGATCGTATTCACATCGTTATACCAAGATCGAAAATGATTTACGAAAGCTTACTGAATAACAGACTTATTTTTGAACACCGAGTTATGCATTTTCAGTTTCGAGATCTGGTTCTTTCGGCCTCTAATTGCAGTTGTAAGATGAAAGAATCTAGTATTCTTATCACCTTCTCTAAACCACTTTAATCTGGACTTTTACAACCATTCTCTTTCCTCTTTCCTAAACTCCGCCCACAACTTCGCTTTTACTGACACAAGATCGGATTGGGCAGCCTGATCACTTGGGTTCACCATGCATAAATTTTCTAATGAATCAATTTTTATTTCCAAGACCTCAATCGACTCTGAATTCATCTCCTTGCTGACCTTAGCCCATTCTTCACTAACAACAACACAATATTCATATCTTTTCCCTGATTTGCACGAAATACCCACTTGATTTTATCAGTTAGCTTATGGTCATCCGCCCAATGGTTAAACCATTTAAATGGCCTGCAAGCCTTTTTGATCTTTTTTCGCACAACAGGATAGGATTATGGTCTGAAAGGCTTCTGTGGAGAGTATCCTGCACCAAATTTGTACTTAAACACGCAATATCGGCTGAGATTAAAAATCTATCTAGCCTACTGGCCGCTGTACATGACCCACCCCTAAACCATATAAAAATATTACCCGAGATAGGAACATCAACCAATTCCCATTTGGAGATGAACTCTTCAAAAATCAGCATTGAGTTCGAGATGTCATGACCCCCTGTTCTTTCCAAGTCCGACCTAACAATATTGAAATCCCCCTCACAATCACCGTAACCTTCATATTATCTATGATGCTACTTAACTGATAAAAAAAACACTTTTTCACTATAAACATTCGGACCATAAACGTTGATGATGCCTATTTCCAAATTATACTGAACAGTCTGACTTTTCAATACAATAAATCTTATGTAAACATTCTGGTAACTAACATTAAAAAAATTCCCATCCCACATAGAAACCAACCCACCAGATACACCTTCTGCCGGAGCACATACCAACTCCCTACAAATTCTCCCCTTTAGCCTTCTTTCTACCACAGCTTGTAAACTCATAACTTTTGTTTCCTGAATCAGCACCATATTTACCTTATTTGATTCAGCAAAATGACACACAACTCTAACTTTCTCCCTCTTTCCCAGCCCTCTAATATTCCATGATAATATAGATATTCCTAATTCCATAAATTAAAAGAGAAAACCCACAGAATAATTACACCCATAACTCACTAACTAAACAAAACAAGGCTTGCCTGATTATTCTATTGACTTCAACCTCTCGATCACTCTTTTCCTTGAGACTCCAAACTGCACCCCCAGAGTATCTACCACTGCTAAGACTGCCTCCGCTTCGATTACATTTCCTAAAGGTCGAACAAAATTAGCTCCACTGGAAGGATCACCTCCCTTTTGGACTTTCGCAGGAACAATCCTACCCCCGCCTCCCTTCGCATTTTTCTTCATTTTTATGGAATTATTTCTTATCTGAGCTTGACAACCGAGCTACATGTATGAATCCTTGTGACCAATATCAGTATTGCCCACAGCAGACACCAGCACTCCTTCAAAAGAAAATGGAATTTTCTCTTTTTGGTGCACAGAAACATTTTCCAGATTAGCAACCACAAAGGCCTTGCAACGATGAGATTTCTTCAATTGGGACTTCAAGCAGTCTTGAGCTGTTAGAAATGGAATGGGTCAATCCATATTGGGTTGGCTCTCTATTAATTTCAACTAACCCAATGCTTTCATCCATCATTTGATTAATGGACCCATCTATAGATAAAATTGGCACGTCATGTAAATCATCAGCCACTTCATCCATATTTCCAACGCACGGGTCTGCATGCATATTCCTACCTGTCAGCCCACCGTTATCACTCCTCTGGCTCTGTACCTCATTAACTCTATCATCATTATATCCTACATCGATACCAGCAATATTAGCACACTTCTCCTGCAGCCTTGGAAACATACCATCATCATCAACTACTGGTTGCCATGCTACACCACCGATCGGAAAACCATCGATAAAAACTCTTTCTTCTTCATGATCTTCCGTAAAAAATTTAATGGTATAAGCCCTACCGTTAATGATTATAATACATTTCTCAGGCACCGATGACGCATATTAAACTTCTAGGAGCACCCTAGCTTCGTTGAATCTTGCTCTATTACATGTATCCTCATGGATTAAGACAACTGAGCCCCATAAACTTCCCAAGTCATTAAAAAACTTATTGCTCCATACTATCAAAGGGACATCTTTCAAAACAACCCAAATTGTCCTTTTAATTTTCTTCTCATACCCTTCTAACAGTTCCAATTCATCAAACCAAAATTGAAGCCATTCAACTCTTCTATCCCAGCACAACTGATGCTCCGAATCCCCTTTAAACTGAATGACCACTAGCATATCGTGCCAAATACTTACCCTAACATCAAAACCTTCTGCTTGGAACGCTGTCTGGACTATCTCCTCATTATACATCATTTTGATTTTACTGACCATGCAACTCTCTCTCTACCTAAGCTCATTCCTCAAAACCACTAAATTCGATCCAGATGCTTGACTAGTCGGATTTGAGTTTGAGGCGCAATCTTCCGAAATACTAACATGGACAGTAACACCAGAATCTATAACCCTCCATTGTTGCAACACTGAGTCCTTTCCCTTTGGCATACGAGCTTTATCATTCACGCCAGCCAAAGCATCTTTAAAAGTCCTGGAATCCCTTAGAGCCGATTTCCAGACCTTATTAACAGAATCTCCCATCTGCCCTCTGGACCGTTGCATTAGCTTCGTTCATGCTTCTAAACCTAACAAACGCAAAGGTAGAACCATCTAAGAGCCTCTTTCTACTTATGTACGCAATGAACACATCCTCCACTGCACCATACTCCTGAAACGCTTATTTAAGAGTGGATGGGTGGATCCTTTTGCTTACATTGTTGACAAAGACAGAATGAACCATTGACTTTTGGTCTGCTCTCACCAATCCTCCTCTCCTTCCTGACGCCATGTTCGGTTAAGTTTTTATAGGATAATTTGATCGTTTGTACTTTATACTTTTCGAATTTCATATTTATGATTCTTATATCGATTTTTGTCTAGTTGAAAAATATTATATTTCTCTTTTAAGGGTAAAATATATAAATGTTTCACGGATTACAAAGTGTTGTTTTGTTGAGTCCCTGACTATTGAAAGTTATAAAATAGTCATTCGACTATAATACATTGTTTTGTTAAGTCCCTTGACTATTAAAAGTTATAAAATGATTATCTGACTATTTATATGATCTACTCATCATTCTCCATTAAAAATTGACTATAGTTTGAGCTAGAAGTTAACCTGCTGACTGAGATATGATAAAATTCTGATTTCATAATCTCAAACGACCATCAAGTCTCACGAAACATGTTAACATCTAGCTCGTATTTTTTTAACGAAAAATGATGATTTTGGAACATAATAAATAATTGATCATTTTGTAACTTTTAATAGTTGGAGACTCAACAAAACAATATCATATAGTTGTGATATCATTTGTGTATGTTACTCAAATTTTAAATTATCATATATATATATATATATATATATATATATATATATATATATATTATTTGTATTTTTTATTGATAATCTATTTTCGCCCTTCGTAAAATTTTATAAGTTTATATCCTCTTAAAATTTTAGAAGTCTATTATTCCTAATAAAAAATCTTACGTCCGTGCTTGTTTACAACTAAAACTACACATTTTGAAAAATTAGAGATTATAAATCATCGAATCATAATAGAGACTAAAACCATCAAATATACATGATACAAGGATTTTTCGCGAAATTTGACCATTAACATTTAACGACATTATGATATCGGGAACAAAGTAATTACAATACAGGAACAGTAATTTCTTCTTTAAAATATCCAATCTTACAGTGACTCTGTGTATTCGGAAAATGGGCTTCCTTGTCGGACTTGTCTTCGGTCTTCTCGTCGGCGTTGCCATTATCGTACTCTTTGTTCGTTCCGAGAACTCTCGATCCAAGCTTCGAACTAAGCTCGTTAGTCCTCTCATTTCTGCTCTCCTTTCTTTTGAATTTGATTTACTTTCTATTTTCTAATTTTCTTTTTGGTTTCATTGCAGGCGACGACGGTGGCTGCTTTTGCAAGAATGACAGTCGATGATTCTAGAAAGATCTTGCCGGCGGAATTCTACCCTTCTTGGGTGGTCTTCTCGCAGAGCCAGAAGTTGACTTGGCTTAATCAGCACCTTACGAAGATCTGGCCTTATGTTAATGAGGTCAAGCTCTTTTTAATGAATGCAATAGATCAAACAGATACAAGATTTCGAGTTCCATTTTTTTTATATAAAAGATTGTTAAATTTGGTGTTATAGGCAGCATCTGATCTGATAAAGGCGTCGGTCGAACCGGTGCTGGAACAATACAGGCCGGTTTTATTGTCTTCTTTGAAATTCTCCAAGTTTACTCTCGGCACTGTTGCACCACAGTTTACTGGTTAGTTAATTTAAGTAATTTATTCTCACAATGTGAAAATTTTTGTTCTCATGGCTTTCTCAATGCTATTTTTATTTGGCTTTGTAAATAAATTATGGCATTATTTTATAGCGAATGACTAGAAATAAAAAATCAGTTTGAATTCGGAACATAACTGTTATAGTCCTAGATGATAGTGTAGGGGAATAATGTATGTAGCAATCTGTTATCCATGGACCATGAAGTTCAATTTTTTTAATCTTCGTAAATACTGTTTACTTCTTTTTCTTAATCCAAAAACACTCCTATTTGTCTCTATAAAATGAGACATTTCTGGTCGAATTTTGGAGTGAAAGATTGTAAAAATTGGTTAGAATTTTTGGTAACCTTAAAAAGTAAGGTCATTCTTTAGGAGTAAGAATTGTTGAAGATGGAGCTGATAGTATTACAATGGAGTTGGAAATGCAGTGGGATGCAAATTCAAATATATTACTTGCTATCAAGACCTATCTTGGTGTATCACTACCTGTACAGGTACCATCTTTATGAGTTTGCTTATTTCTGATGGTTTCTTGCTTGGGTTTCCCATTAATGTCTTCTCAGGAGATGTATTAATGCTTTATGCTTCTAGAATTTAGAGTTATAACATTTTTCATCATCATATGTAGTAAGCTGTCAAATTTCTGGTTTTCCATTGTTGATCCTATTGAATGGTCATAAAAAAATGTTCAATTGATGTGATTAAAAGTACATCTTTAATGAATAGCGATTCTAAAACTATGGAATTTCTGAGCAATTTTTGGGTGGTTATGGAAGAGTTCGACCACTGAAAGAAATGAAGACCAGGCATATACAGTGTTCTGGGATCTTTTAATATGCTACACTCTAGCTATGGGTTTCTCGAAAACATCGTGCAGAAGGCTTATATATATTGCTTAGTATATCCCTTAATGCTAACTTAACTTCCTGGATGTATATTTCATAGTAATATTTGTTGTTTGGAACTATTCCACCATCCTTTTTGACATTGCATACTATGCTTGTAAGCATCAAATCTTGTATATCTATTGTAGTCTCTCTCTCTTTTAATGCTTCACTTGTCTTTGGCAATGGATTTAATCTTATATAACAGCATCCTGTTTTTGTTTCAAGTTGTTAAGTTTTTTCGTTCAGAACAAGAGCTCTTGATGTTAAATTCCTTTTTCATCTGACTTAGGTGAAAGATATTGGATTCACTGGAGTTTTCAGGTTGATATTTAAACCCCTGGTGAATGAGTTTCCTTGCTTTGGAGCTGTTTGTTATTCTCTGAGAAAAAAGGTGTGTTATTTGTATCTGATATTTCCAGTTAATGCATGTGAGCACATGTTTTTACCCTGAAGAAAGAGCTTAAATTGTAGACATAGAAAAAATGTGATTGAGATGCATATAACATTTCCCTGACTGCATACCTTTGGAACCCAAAGAAAGAGCAATCTGATGGTTGGAGGAATTTTCCTAATGGTATGCTGTTCATTAAATTGGTTAAGGTCAAGACGCTAAGCAACTCAATTGTACTCATGCATATAAGCAGGTGTTAATTGCATTAGTTCCCATTTAATACAGTAGTAATTGACAGTCATTCTTGTTTCATGTGTCTATTGCCTTTTATTTTGGTGCTTGATTCGATTGTTAAAAAGGAATCATAGCACTGCTGTATATAAAATATTGGTAAGAACTGATGCAAAAATAACTTGAGTTGAAGTAATTGTTTATGATATCCTAGTGGAGCTAATTTTAGACTAGCTACATCACTGAAGGCTTATAATTTTGCACTTATATGCTCGGGTTCATTACACACTCTGCATGCTGGAATTACACATATCCACGCAATTGATATAAGTAGGTGAATTGTGCGTTTTTTGTTGCTTGCAGAAAAAGTTGGATTTCACCCTGAAAGTCATTGGCGGTGACATGTCAACTGTTCCTGGACTTGCTGATGCTATTGAGGTTTGCATGATTTTTGACACTGGATTGCTATATTACTTCAACATATGAATTTTCTACTGTATCAATCTAGTTTAAATTATTAATATGGTCTTGATTTTTGCATTATTGTACTTTTTCCAAACACCTTAAGTTTGGCACATATTCGGACATGGTTATGGAATATGATCCTCCAAATATGTGGAAAACTTAGAAAAATTGAGGACCTATACTGGGCACATACCCTATCAAACATGGACCCCCAAGCCTAGGTAACATAATTTGATGGACAATTTTTGAGAATATGCAACCATGATAACCAATTTGTTGTGAACTCAAGGATTTGTCACTGGTGGTGATTTTTTTGCTGCAGTTACTGTCAAAGTTTCTATATGTTTGACCCTGATATAAACTGATGCATATGATTGTTATATGGTGGTTCATCAGAAGTTGTTGGCTGTGTTTCTTTTGGGATAACTTAGGTTAGTTTGCAAACATAATTTCATTTTGATTGTTCTTGTACAAGGTCTAGAAGTTAGAATGTTCCATTGGTTTAATTGATTAATGTATTATACAACCCAAGTGAAAGCATGTAATAGTATCCAGCTTATAGAAATTTAAACTTTTGTAACCCCTGCCTTATTAATGCAAGTTGTTCATGAATTTGACTTTTATTCTTAAACTAAGTTATTTCCCTAGTTAACTGTCCAGAGTGAATATCTTGCCTTAGGATTTGGCTCTTGAATTGATTTTAACTTGTAACTTCTATAGATGTAACCTCATGTTATCTTTTGTAGCGTCATGTAAGCTTTATGTTCTGTATGAAATGATTAACGGTGATGGTAATCTAAAAATCTTATGGACCTCTTCTTTTATATGGTTAGGCTTGCTATACCTTTCATGTAAGTTAGTAATTGACCTCTGATATTGCTCTCCATGATTTACATGGTTATGTATTATCCTAAGTCTCTTTTTTGGGGTGTTGAACTCTGTGAGATGGAAGGTTTGTTAATACGTCGAAAATATTTTACATATTTTTGTCCATACAGAGCACAATCCATGATGCTATTGAAGATTCTATCATGTGGCCTGTGAGAAAAATTATTCCCATTTTGCCTGGAGACTACAGGTATGTCTTTTCCTTTTTTGTCATTATAATATTTAATAATCTTGTTCAATGTAAAAAAGAAAGTATTAGGGACTTTAGGCTAAAGTATGGACAGTATACAAAGAGCCTTCTATCTCTGTCTCTCTCCTTCAACATCTAAGTAGGGGCAGATTTGATGGTCAAAGAACTTAATGTCTATATTTTCAGTGATTTGGAGTTAAAGCCTGTTGGAATGCTAGAGGTGAAGCTTATCCAGGCCCGTGAGTTAACAAACAAAGATATTATTGGAAAATCGGATCCCTATGCCGTTTTATATGTACGCCCTTTACCTGCAAGAACAAAAAAAAGTAAAACAATTGTAAGTTCTCATTCCCCTCCCTGCTTCCTCTTTGTTCATTCCTAGAGAAAGACAAATTATTTCAATAACTTTTCAATAGGTTCAGAAGATTCTTTTTACATGTGTATTTCCCAGAACAATCAGTTGAATCCTATATGGAATGAACACTTTGAATTTGTCATTGAGGATGCAACAACTCAGCACTTGGTGGTAAGAGTTTATGATGATGAAGGGGTTCAGGCATCCGAGCTTATTGGATGTGCTCAAGTACTTCTAAGTGAACTTGAACCTGGTAAAGTGAAGGATGTCTGGTTGAATCTGGTTAAAGACTTGGAGATCCAGAGAGACTCTAAGTACAGGGGGCAGGTGAGCACATTGATTATCCTCCTTAGTATAATAAATTAATAATAGTTTAAGCATTCGTATGCTGGCATGTATTTTCACTAAATTGAATTTGTTCAAGGGAAATTCCTTTCTATAGTAGCTTTTTATTCTTTCAAATTGTGATGCCTGCAGTAGGTTCAAAGTGCTATGCGTAGAAATTGCATGCCTCATTCACTCACTCTTCAAGTTATAAATTTCTTAATTTATTTTTTTCTTAGGGTGTTTTCCCTTCCTAGAAATTTTGTATTTCTATGAAAATGATGATATTTATGTTTTGCATGAAATTGTATGATGATTATTAGGTGCACTTGGAGCTCTTGTACTGTCCCTTTGGCATGGAGAACAGTTTTAAAAACCCCTTTTCCTCTGACATTTCAATGACCTCTTTGGAGAGGGTTCTTAAAAATGGAGGAGCAAATGGAACATATGATATCGAAAATGAGAAAGCAGATACACATAAGAAAAGAGAGGCTATTATTAGAGGAGTACTGTCTGTGACTGTGATATCTGCGGAAGATTTGCCTATTGTAGATTTAATGGGAAAGGCTGATCCCTATGCTGTACTCACAATGAAGAAATCAGAGGCAAGAAACAGAACTAGGGTAAGATTTGCCTATTGTTTTCTATCCTTGAGGGATGGGGTGGGGACAGAAAGAATGTTTGACAGTTGTTTCCCTTGTTAGGTTGTGAATGACAGCTTGAATCCTGTTTGGAATCAAACTTTTGATTTCGTTGTCGAGGATGGATTACACGATATGCTAATCCTTGAAGTCTGGGACCATGACACTTTTGGGAAGGTAAATTATTTGCTATAACTCTTAATTCTTCCTTAGAAGTCATATAAATTCTGGTTTTTGCCATAGTTCCTGTTTTCCCTTTTCTTTTCAATCGTGTTCTTGCAGGATTACATGGGGAGGTGCATTTTGACTTTGACAAGGGTTATATTAGAAGGAGAATACACAGATTGCCTGCCGCTAGAGGGAGCTAAATCTGGAAAATTGAATCTCAACCTTAAGTGGATGCCACAGCCAATTTTCCGTGATTCCTAAGCGATACAAAGACTGGTAGGTTCTGAGTTTAGAGAACTCTGCAGGTTCGAGTTTGACTCAAGTCGCATGCCGAAAGCCACTTTATTCCAACCCCTCACATTTCAGTAAACCATAGCTCTCAGAGGGTGCTCAAACTACTGTGCCGATACCCTGTAAGGGCTAATAGTTGAAACTTTGCATGTATAATTTTTCACTTAGCTGCTCTAGACTGTAAAGTTCGAGTTTTGGATACCAATTAGAATACATGAGAAATTGGGATTTGACCCCAAGGCCTTGGCATGCGGTATTTCTTATCAAATTCAAGGTTTTCTTTTGACATTGATTGTTGGTTAGTACTATTGCCTTGATTGAAGCTAGGATGAACTCGAAAAATAGCCTGCATACAATATCATCTGTTTGATTGAGAAGACTATTCCAGTTATAGACTGTTTTCTTGACCATTCTCCAATGCTTCGAAGCCTTTATTTTTTATAGCCTTTGTACGCAGAAGGGCCATAAAATCGGAACAACAACAATCATTCCAATCCCCACATGCTCAGTGCTACTCGTCTTCAAACAAACTTGCCTCATTTTCTGGCAATTTATATTGCCATTAACAGAGCTTCAAGCCTTGTATTGGCCTGAACTCATATATGAATGTCATCTTTAATCTGTATAAAAATAAATGAAACCCTAAGTTAAGCGATAATCGAACCCTTCATCATCATAGTTCAATACATTTTTCACGGCTTAATATTCTCCATCGGTATTTCAATTATGAATTTGAGTATTTAGAATTTAACACTTTACATTAATAATCATAACTGATATATAGAGAGAGAGAGATTTGGAATTGAACATACATTGCTTGTAAACTGTGAAAAAATATATATATATTTTTAAAATGTATATATTCAATTCAGTTTGATTAAAATTTCAGTTTTTGTACTAAACCAGTCTCCCCCAATCAGTTTCATCATCAGTTTGATTGAGAGGCGACTGACGAGATGTCAAAGCTGTGAAGGTGGGGGCGTGAGCTGGAGCTCATGCTGCTCCCCCATGAGCTGAGCCTGACAATGTTTTTGACAGAAAACTGAAAAATAGTTAACTAGTCACAGTCCCTGCTACTGCTAGCCATTTGATAATCATCCACTGGTTGATACAATTTGGTTTAATGATGCCTAAAAGAAAGTCTCAGTTCAGCAATTTCAGCAGACAGAACAACCAAGATAATAACCATCAAAGGGAAAGCAATGTCGGTTAAGCTTCAAGACTAGTAATGAATGAAATGCAGCTAATATTTTAATGTCATCGAAGCTTTGAATGCATCAAATCGAGAAATATAGAGCCAACTGCAAGAATGAAACTTGAGAAGAACAAGTACCTGGAACAACATCTAACATGAGGGACAAGGGAAACTCTTACAGCTGAAGGCTCCAAGACCTGTCAAAAGTTCTCTAATATGATCCGATACAGTGTTTTGGTACGTACGATGACAAAAACAAGCATTCGCAATATTGATAATGAAGAGCAAAGGCAGGAATCTTAAGAATTCATTGCTTAAACATCATATAGACTACCTTTGAGTCCCAGGCTTTCACGAGCTTTGAAGCTTAAAACTGGGATACGCGGATGCAAAATTTCAATGATATGAGATAATCCGAGTCCTCGGTATGCTAACTTTAACTTACTCGAACTCAGGTGAGATTTTCCACGTATTCGAAGGGTCCTTATGGTTGTGGTGGTTCCTTATAAGCTCCATGTACAAGTAGACAAGTCAGAATTTAACTCATATCAAGTTCTAGTACCAGAGGCAGAAAGCATAATAAAATGCTTTAAATGATCCTTTTGTTTCTGCTCCCTTGTCTCATGAAGCAATTAAGATAACCAACTAAATTTCCATCATTAGAATGTGATGAAATGTACAAGTTAATTTTGTTACCGACATTTCAAAACACATCATCTTATGAAGGATTTTACATGTTACTTTCGATTGAATATACGGCTTTTATATCTTTCATAGAACAATTATATTCATGAATTTCTTTTTTGCAAAGCTAACCACTATTTATTTGGAGTTCCATTGGGCCTATAGGCAACGCTCAACAGTCTCCCGCTTGTTTCTTCTCTTATTTGCTTCAGATAATTCCTAAGCAGTTCTGCATTTAAGAAATCAATGAATTATATGGTAGCCAATTATCGAGACCTCGGTACTCAAAGTGGTAAATAACATCACAAATGATCACGAGTTTGATGTAGAAGACAGATATTAAAAGTTTTACAAAGAATTCCAAGCACTGCATACTTCCTAAAACACTTGTCATATTCAAAGCACTATTGGAAAATCAACAGATTTTACATTTTCATTCTCACCGAAAACGAGGCTTTTCAAACAACTTTAGGGTTATAGTCTTTGAATTTGAAGGACGGCTCTCTAAGCTTGACCCCTCAAGTTAAGATAAGCATAAAGTCAAAAATTGCATCGTATATTATTCAAAACTACAACCCTAAAGTAGAAAGTACATTTTGTTTGCATAATTCTTAAATCTTCCATGTAAAATCAATTTGAGCTACTGTTGTCTCAAGACAACAAAAATCGAGTACGGTGGAGTAGCTGACTGACTAAAAGAGTTCACTACGACTCACTGTGATACTTGGAACATGTTTCACACTTACCCAACACTTTAATAATCTATGTAACTTATATGATATCAAAAATGTAAAAGAATAACCTGCTTCTTTTTGAGACTGTGGAAACACAAAGAGCCCTGGAAAAGGAAAACCGGATTCTCCAGGTACAGGAATTTCTTCCAAGCCCAAGTTAATGATTGCCTTAGTACCTTCTGCCAAGGTCCTACGGCCCTCAAGCCTCTTCAAAGCCACATTTATGTAGAAAGTCAAATATATAAGGAGCTTATCCGCGGGGCTCTTGATATCAAAGTTTCTAAAGAACACATTGGCACGAAAGAACGTGATTGCTTCATCGACAATATCAGTTTTACCTGCAAAAAACCCATCTTAAATTACCAACTCAAAAGATAAGAAAGGGTATGATATCGAGAACTCTCCAGTGAAGATGATAAATCCAACCTTGATCTGAAACAGGTGCAGGACCCCTTATGTGACTTTTCAAAGGAAGTAAAGGGAAGCCACAAGCTTTAGTAAGTCCTTCCTCATCAACAAAACTAGAGTGATAAAGCTGGCATTTAACAACTATCTCTAAGCGGAAACGAACCAAATTACATATATATATATATATATATATATATATATATATCAACACTTTAGTAATCAAACTGTTATTTAACATTTATAATAGTTTTTGTTAAGGTCGTAATAAGTTATTAAGTTAGTTTGGTGGTTAGGTATTTAGTTTTTGATTTTAATGGTTTATAGTTTGAATCTCATGAAAAGTATTTTTTTATCAACAAAACAACGTCGTTTTGAGCTTTTGGAGCATTAAAACAGTCGTGTCAAAACGACGTCGTTTTGATGAGGGAGCCATGTCATCGCTCCGTTAATGAATTAACGACAGAGTGACATAATTACAGCTAAACATAAACGTCAGTATTAAAATTGATAAAATTGAAACGTCAGTGACATAAACGAGCCCACAATTAAAGGTGAGTGGTACTTGAAGTAGTTAACCCTAAAATTTATATTATCTAAATCAATACAGGTTACATACTTGATCTGGTGGGTGAGCCTTCTAGTAGAGACATTTTACATATACAAATACTCAAATTTGATATATACTTAAATGATATCATATTATTTACTAGTTCAAATTACAGCTAAACATAAACGTCAGTGTTAAAATTGACAAAATTGAAACGGCAATGACATAAACGAGCCCACGCTTAAAGGTTAGTGATATTTGAAGTAGTTAACCCTAAAATTTGTATTATCTAATTCGATTCAGGTTACATACTTGATCTGGTGGGCGAGCCTTCTAGTAGAGACATTTTACATATACAAATAATCAAATTTGATATATACTTAAATTATATCATATTATTTACTACTTAAACTAATCTTCTGATGATTTTTATCAGATTTTTTAAACATTAGATTTTTGGTCTTTTATGATTAAATATTTTTTATTATTACATTATTTTTATGAATTTTAAGTCTATATTTTCTTTCAATTAATTTTGTGTTTTGCAATTTTAATTCTGTTTAAAAAGATGTTTGTAGATTAAATGGTATTCACATTATTATTTTTATATTTTTATTAGTATTATTTCTATTTATCCCAAAATTTTAATGTTTATCATGGTAATTTAATTTTTATTCTTTTTTCATGTATTAATGTATATCAACACTTATCTATGCCAATTTTCAACTACCATCGCAATTTACAAAAATATTAATATTTTCCTAAATTACAAAAGAACCCCTATAAATTTGTCCTTGTTCCAATTCTGCCCCCATTGCCCCCTACTTTTTTTTATTTCCCTATCACACCCTTCTTTACTTCGATAACTCACTCTTCTTTTTCCCAATTTCTCAAAAAAAACCCAAAGCTTTAGGGTTTCTTCTTCTCATCCATCTCCAACCCCCTGACTTTGCCTCTCTGGTAAATTCTTCCCTTTCACTATCTCTCTCTCTCTCTACACTTTATCCTTCAATTTTCCTCCTTTTAATTCTTTTTTTTCTTTTTCTTTTTTGGGTTTGCATGCTGTAATTTTGTTTAATTCTTTTAATTCTTTTGCTTGTGCCGGGAATCCTTGATGTTGAGTCGGAAATCTAATTTAGTTTATTGTTTAGATTGTTGGGTTTTCGTTAAAAGGTTATGCTTCTTGGTGGGTTTTTGCTGATCTGATTATCATGACCCTTTGTTTGGTTTTAAAAAGACGAAAATTGAGCTCCCTAGCAATGGAAGATGTTGATCCATTTGGTTTTGAAAGCCTTTTTCATCTTGAAATAAGCTTTGGGTTGAGAACCCCTTTAGCTGTTTTATATGTTGGGTTTGAGCACTTGTTTTAAAAAAAATTACTTGTGAGTTACCGGATGTTGTTTGTAAATTTTAAGTTTTTAGTAGTATATTTTTTTTTTAAAAATGGTGTATATTTTTCTTGCAATGGTAAATGGGTTGCCTTTTTTTTATGATCTAAGACAATGTTGCGGTTCTGTTGTTTGAGGCTTAACTAGCTTGACTACTTAGTACTGACTGTAAGTTTGCCTTTTGAGGAATGCGATGATGATTAGGCAATGAAAATCTGTGTCTTTCACTTTAGTTAAGTTAATAAAGACTTAGCATTTTGGTCTAAATTGCCAGCTCTTGTTTAACTGTTGTATGATTAGAGGACCTTGACAATTTTCTTTTATGCCTTTAAGTGGAATTCTCCCAACCCCGTTGCTTGCCTTGCATATAATATTGTGTAGTGATGGTTGTAGGTCATGTATGGTTTGTAACGATTTTAAAATTTGGCTTGGTAAATCAAGTGTAGCAGTTAAAAACTTGTAATTTATTTTATGAGTTTATGTAATCTATTTGTAAACTTCTTGTCTGTTTAAGTTAAGAAGCGATTTGGAATGGTGCGGGGGAAGCTGATCTTGATTTGCCAGCATGGCGGTGAATTTGTGCCGAAGGATGATGGATCCTTGTCATATTCTGGAGGAGAGGCACATGCCTTAGATATCAGTCCTGAGACAGCATTCGACGATCTCAAGTACAAATTAGCCGAAAAAAGTAACTTGGAATATAAATCTTTGACTATGAAGTATTTTCTCCCTGGAAACAGGAGAACTCTAATTACTTTGTCCAATGACAAAGACCTTAAAAGGATGTATGACTTTCATGAGGACTCGGTGACTGCAGATATTTTTCTTACAGGGACAAAAAGCTTTGTTCCTGCAAATCTTGGCACGCAAGCTAAGAGGTAATTGCTTTCTACCTGCAGTTATCAACAGCTTCTGGATTTCTTTTGCTGTCATTGTTATTTTCTTTTCTCACCTTAAATTAAAAGTTCATGCATTATCATTGCATCAGCAAGAAAAATGAGAATATGCTGAAATAATCCATTTTCTTTGATGAGTTTGGGTTTGCCTCAGTATTTGTGCATAGTGGTTAAATGCGGAAATTGCAAAATCAACGGTTTCATTAAGATCAGTCATCACTTGCAGGAAAATTGGTGCAAAAAAAGGTGCCACCTCTGCTGCGGGTCCTGCTACTTCCAAAGTCGCTCGCTCTGCTGTTGGCCTGAAGGATGTTACTGTTGGTATAGCAACCCCCTCTGATTCTGTTGCAGGTGTCAATGCAACACTTCGAAGCCCCACTAAAGCAGCTAAACGTACTGCTGGCCGTAACATTGTTGATGGTCTTTTTGAGGTCAGTGTTGCTGATGCAACTGACTGTAGCACAGATACAATTGATATGAGCGCTTCTCCTGCTGATACCGTCAAGAAACGTAGGCGCATTGCCTCCTGGAGAAGTGGTGCAAATGGTCTTAACATTGTGAGTGTTGACGACAGTCCTGACGAGACCAGAAAATCCACATCCAGGAAAAAGGTTGCCAGGAGATGCAATACTGTTGCAGTAGTTGATAACATGAGCCTGACTCTTGCTCCTCCCAATGATGCTTCACCGGATGAACTGGTTGAATTTTGGAAAAATGGTATTACTGGTGAAGGCCAGGACTTTGGAAGTGTGGCAGAATTCCGTGATGCTCTACAGAAATATGCCATTGCACATCGCTTTGGTTATAGATTAAGAAAGAATGACACTAATCGTGCTTATGCTGTATGTGCAGTAGAAGGCTGTCCATGGAAGCTTCATGCATCTTGGGTCCCATCCGACGGTGTGTTTAGGGTTAAAAGGATGGACGAAGCACATACTTGTGATGGTGAAAAATCTCGAAAGACTGGTACTCCAGCTAAAAAAATTGGTTGGTGAATATTATTAAGGATAGGTTAAGAGATAGCCCGCACCACAAACCAAAAGAAATTGCCAGAGACATTCTTCGTGATTTTGGGCTTGAGCTGAACTATGCACAAGTATGGCGTGGAGTTGAAGATGCTCGGCAGCAACTTCAGGGTTCATACAAAGAAGCATATGGTCAGTTGCCTTGGTACTGTGAAAAGATAGAGGAGGCAAATCCTGGTAGTTTTACACAGCTTCTCATTGGAGATGATAGACGATTTCAGCGTCTTTTTATATCCTTTCACGCTACAGTTTATGGTTTCCAAAGTGGGTGTCGTCCACTGCTTTTCCTTGAGGCCATCCCATTGAAATCAAAATACCATGAAACTCTGCTCACTGCCACTGGACTGGATGGTGATGATGGGATTTTCCCTGTTGCATTTGCTGTTGTAGACAATGAAAATGAAGACAGTTGGAATTGGTTTTTGGAGCAGTTGAGATCTCAAGTGTCGACCTCTTGTCCTCTAACCTTTGTCTCTGATAGAGATAAAGGATTAATGAAGCATGTGCTTGAAATATTTGAGAATGCTCACCATGGTTACTCTATATACTACTTGATGGACAGCTTCATTCAAAACTTAAAGGGACCATTCCATGGAGAAGGGAGAGCTTCATTGCCTGGTTGTTTCTTGGCTGCAGCAAAAGCAGCCCGACTTGGTGGTTTTAGGATGTACACAGAGCAAATTAAACGTGTTTCTTCAAGTGCTTATGATTGGATTATGCAAAATGAGCCTGAATACTGGGCAAATACATTTTTCAAGGGTGAGCTTTATAATCACATAACACTCAACATTGCAGAGTCATATGCTAACTGGATAGAGGAAGCACGTGAACGACCCATCATGCAAAAGATAGAAGTATTAAGATGTAAAATCATGGAATTAATGGAAAGTCGACGAATGGAATCAAGTAACTGGACTACGAAACTTACACCATCAAAGCAGGAAATGTTACAAGAAGAATTTGCAAAAGCACGTGGACTGAAAGTATTATTCTCATCCGACACCCTATTTGAAGTTCATGATAGTTCCATTAATGTTGTGGATATTGTTAAACAACACTGCAGTTGTGCTATGTGGAAACCAACTGGGCTTCCTTGCCATCATGCGATTGCTGTCTTTAACTGCACAGGTAGGAATGTGTATGATTATTGTTCAAGGTACTTCACAGCAGATAGCTTCCGATCAACATATTCCGGTAGCATAAATCCTACTTCGACCATTGCTTATTCCGGTGGAGATGAAGATCATGAAGAAGATGATGAGCAGATATTGCCTCCAATCGCACAACCATTAGGCCAACAGCAGAAGAAGTTTAAATGGAACAAAAGCCAGGGAATTATCAGAAGATCCGTCTGTTGCACTCGGTGCAAAGGAGTCGGGCACAATAAGGTTTCATGCAAGGCAAGCTTTTAGGGAGCATTTACCTTATGTGTGTATGTATAACGCTGTACAGCTTTCATGGTTGCTTTAGGTAATTTCCAGCTACTTTGAATAACAATCTCCATGGACTTAACTACATTAGCATGCCATGAATAGTTGTCTTGTTCTTTGAAGTTGCATTTATGTATTAGGCTAAAGTACTTGGACTTTGTTGCGACTTAAATATTATACTGTGTTATGGTACTGGCAATTGGGTAGGTTGAATTGTGTTTGGATCGAGTCATTCAAGTCTTTTCTCTTTATTACATTTTTCATGTTTAGTACTTGGATTAATTGCTGTTTGATCATTTTGAAATTTATTTGTTGAGCCAAAAATTAAAGCAATTTGAGTTTGAATTGTTTTTGTCTCAAGTTGGCTCGATTTATAATGGTAGGTATGGTTGAATACAGTGATAAATGTGGTGATTTTTACAGGAAAGCTACCTATGAGATTGTTGGTAATAGTTTGGAAAGGATCATAAAGTAGTTTCAGGGAGGGGATCAAGAGTATAATGCCCCCTCCCAGTGCGATACAAATCTAGCAACTTAACACCGATTTATTGTCAACATTTTCACCTACGTCTTCCGGGACATGGAAAGCTGCCCTCAATGCTACCGACTGTGCCTTGATAAGCTTTATCATGTCTTCCTCGAGTTCTAGATTACCATCAAAAGATGAAATGGTATTAAAGATAGCCCCACGAACATCATGGACTATCGGATCCTGCGTCAACAAGTCAAGCATGAAGTCTTTTCTTCATACATAAGTAATAAGGTCTCTGTTCTTGACCAGGACTTACAGGTCTTACGGACAACAATCAAGGCCAAAGACAATCTCTTACCTGAGTGTGATCCATCGGATACTGCTTTTTCTGTCTCATCTCCAGTTTAGAGCTAATCGAGGCCTCTTCTTTGCGGTCTAGCCTACTCTGATTGGTTGAAAATTTTGCCCATTTCTTATATTGGTCACATAAGTTAAGAATGGCCAAAAAATATACAGCAAGTTCCTTTTGCTCGATCAAACCGTCTCTAATTGCCCCTGCCCTCGTAAAAAAGGAAAATCATTGGATTTAATAGAGGAAGTAGTACTTGAGCTTCATATAGTTGAACTATTACAATTAACTTATTCCCTTAAAAGAGAAAAAAATAATGGGATGGCTACCAAACTGAAGAAAAGAGTTGAGCATGAAACATTCCATGATATTGGAGAAAATGGAATCTAAATTAAGAAAAAGAGACCACCTGTCAATGCTAGTTTGGAGCAAAGTTCGGCATCATGAACGATACGAGGCAAAATACCAGGAGTATCTAACAAATAGATATTGGGGTGGCTACCAATCTGAAGAAAAGAGTCGAGCATGAAACACTCCATGGTGTTGGAAAAAATGGAATCTAAATTAAGAGAAAAAACCCATTACAACATATTGGCATATATGTACCTTCAAGCTGCTGATGTCTTTTGTCTCTCCAGGCTGAGGACTCACAGTTGCATGCTTCAACTTTCCTTTTTCTAAATAGAAGGAACATGGGATAGTTTAGATTTCATTTAAAGGTTCATTAAACAGGAGAGGAACATGAGAAGATTTGAGAAGGGTTGAAGCACCTCCAGCACTAATCCTCCCAATCTGATGCAAAGAATTAGCTAGTGCTGATTTACCAACATTAGGAATCCCTACAAGCATTATTGTTATTGTCTCACTAGAATGATGATTACCTTTGCACAGTCCCCTAACTTGAGCTTGTACAAAATTGAGCAGCTGTGAGAAATAAATTGTTTACCAATTGTTGGTATATATAATACATCTTAAACAAGAAACAATGGCATAGGGTTGACACTGAATGTAGGAGATTCTAGTGGATAGATAAGAGACAAAATACCCCTTTCACACTGTCCTTGTTATGGGAATTGACTCCATAAGGAATGCAGTCTTGTTGCTCAAAATATCTCATCCATCCCTAAAAGATGGAACAGTATATCAGTATATGCAAGATTACGGCACATCTATAAAGTGGATTTTATTTGAATTCTCCAATTGATTTAGTGTTTTTTTACCAGGTGACACCAAACTAGACACAATCTGGGATAGACAGAGGGGGCTGGCGGGGCAGTAACTCCCCTAATAATTTCAAATCCTCATATAATTTAAATATTTTCCATGTACTTCCTATTAATTATCTATTTTTACTCCTAAAATTTTATAAGTTCCCCAGCATAAAATACCCCTTTGACACAATCATATGGAAATGAAGGGAAAAACACAAGAAACAAATGCCAACCTTTAATTGTGTTGGATCAGCGAGGTCAATCTTATTCATGACAACAATTCGTCTAGAAAGAGAAGGAAAATTCCTCAACAGCTCATACTCGGATGACAAGGGAATCTGAAAGGTTTACCACTCAACAAGTTGAATGATAAGTTTCATCTTGCAAAGAAGAATAAAGTAAAAAAAAAAACTATACCCTGGCGTCTCTGATCTCAGCAACGAGATCAACCAATGGAAGTCGTTGAACAATGGCACTTGTGGCTGCAGCCATGTGGGGATCGTACCACCATACTTTATTTCTGCTTGCTGCTTTCTGCACTGCAATCCCTATTTTCCTTGCTGTTTTACTTGCAACGCTATTTGCTGCCATTAGTATATCTTTTGTCTCGAATGAATTTATCTTTCTTTCTTCTCTCTTAGAATGCTACTGATGAACGAGTTTATATCAAGGGTTTAAGTGAAGACCATGGTAGAACAATTGGAACTTATTTCAGGCATAAAATCAAACATGTTGGGGGCAATGTGGTTAGCGCCTAAAGTATATCCGATAGGAGAATAAATCTATCAAACGAAACAGTGAATCGACGCCCGAGACAAGAAATATGAGCGATCTATCAATGATAAAATTTCTTCAATTGTTTTTTGAGAGAAGCATCTATCAATGACAGCTAATCTGCAGCCATATAACCAATGATAATGAGGGTTTTAGGAAGTCTTGTCAGTCAGCTGTTAGCAAGTTTGGATTTCAAAGAATACAAATTCTAAATAATGGATTGGATCAGGTGTTGAACTGCATTACGAATATGCGCTTTCAGTTTACAGTTATAGGCTACCTCCTCTTTCATAAACAGAACTGAAATACAAGGGCAGATACTCAGTTTCTCATTTTAACTATCAATCTCTCTCTCTCTCTCTCTCTCTCCCCCCTCCTCCCTCGTGGAAGCAGATAACAAACCAATTATGCAGGAAAATGCATTGTTAATAGAAAACTAACCGATTATACACACTCTGCTCTTTTAACGAGGAGTATTGACCAATAATTGATGAAATGGTTGCTGGATCACTCGAGTCTGCAGCACATAATGCAGCTTCTAAAATGGGTAATTTCTGTTGATTAAGTGAAAAGATGTAAACATATAACGTACAAAAATTATTAAAAACAATTAAGTGAACTTTCTAAGGCATAAAGCAAGAGAGATTCACACTGCCTATTTTGGATAAAAATTAAGCAGAGATTTTGAGGATTCAAAAGAAGAGTAGGGATCAAAATCTTTCTAACAGAAGGAAAAACTATTTCGTGCTGATACTAATCACAGTTGCAATTTTCCCTCAGTTCACAAGGCACAAATAGGTAGGGAATGTATTTTCAGTTTTTAGTAAGTGTGGACAGAGGTTTTACCTTCTCCAGACAAAGGAAAGATCTGGTTTGAGCTACAAAAGTAGCTTTATACAATAAAGAATCCCATTTAGGGAACTCTTAAAGATGAATCTGGTTATTTTTAGAAAAGTAGCTCTATAAGATATAGAAGCATATGTTTATTAGGTGACAGTAACTCTACACTTTAACTTCCAAAGATTAATGTCTAAACTTTAAAAAAGAATAAGAAGAAACATACATGTTAGCTTTACTAGCGAAAGGAAACACAAAGCTGACACTTAATGTGTTTCCTCTATCATGTTTTCTCAACCAACCGGTATAAATCTACATTGTCTCAAATATATTTTGAACTCATCCATATTTTAGGTTGGGAAGCATACTGCTGAAGGGACAAAGTGAGTTGCAAGGCCACATGCAAGCATTTCTGCACCATCCAATTTGGCACCAGTAAGACCGAGATACTCTCCTGCCAGAAGATGATGACGCTATGTGAAGCTAAACATAAAACAAATTCCAGTATACAAGTTTTTGGCTAGCTAGAAGAAATGAATACAACATGAATCAGTTCTGTGAACCAAAATAGACCCGACAAAGCCCAAATATAGCTATTGTAGCTATCATTAAGGAGAACCCAATTTACGGAGCCTTACTGCCTTTGCATTCTTTCTTGTAAGTGTATAAGGCATTAGCCAAAATCCAGGATGCTACGGAAGAGGTGAACCTTTGTTTTAAAGGATTCAGGCTTAGGATATGAAATTTTAAAAAATAAAAGTAATTAAAGGGCACGTATAATATATTCAAGAATATAATGGGTGTACCGAAAAATCCTGGGAGTCTTGACAAGAATAGGAGGCTCCTACATCTGGGAAGAGTCCCAAAGCTGTTTCAGGCATTGCAAAAAGCTACACAACATCCAATACATAAACATTATAAAGAGAAACCAATCTGCTACACTTAGCATCTGATTCTGTCAAATTAACAGAAAATGCAAAAAGTAGACTATTTAGGGAAGAGACATCAAATTATTTTAGCTTAGAATGCTAATAGAGCCATTTTCTTCTAATTTATGCAAGGAACTTCTAAAGTATTTCAAAGGATACAAAAGAGATAATTACCGAGTTCTCAGTTGCCACACGGAATCTACCATGCATTGAAGTACCATTCCCACCTCCCATAATGATTCCATTAAGAATTGAAACCTTCAATGAGATTTGCATTTTCACAATTAGAAAAATCATATACATACATGGTATAGGCTAAAGTCAGCATAGCCTTAAATGTTCTTTTATGAAACTTGTTGTGTTTGTTGAACTGAAATGGAGTTATAGATTGAACCAAAAAGAAACGGAGAAAGAGACAAAAAGTAACATGGTCAAAGGAACAACCCTCTTTCCTCCCTCTTGAGACCTCAAGTCCTCAACTTTTTTTTTGTCTTCCTCTTCTCAATTACAACTTCCTCTGTCTTCTTCTCTAGTACAACTTCCATGTTTCTCCTTCTCCCTCAGTAACTCCCCCACCCCACCCCTTCTCCATTAAAAATCTAAGATCACAACCCAAACACCCTGCCCATCAACTTTTCATTTGATTTCACCCTTTCTTCACTCCACTTTTGGTAAGTTACCAGATTTTTGTGTTCTATTATACTCAATTCAGGTTATATATATAAGATATTGTTCCGAAACACCCAGCTCTGCAACTTATCAATTGATTTCACCCTTTCTTCACTCCATGTTTGCTAAATTTCCAGATTTTGTATTCTTTTATGCTCAAATTCAGATTTCTTTATTGTTCATAACTTGTTTGAGGATTTATTATATGAATTTGAAGAATAGTTTTATGTATTGTTTTGTATGTATTTCACATGATGTTGGCAGGAATCATTTGGTGTTCCAATTAATTATTTATTAACTTTTATCAACTTGAAATTTTAATATGATCATAGCTAAAACAAGATTCAGATGGCTTCAAAGAACTTTGTTGCTAATTTCTTTGATTATATTGTTATTTCTCATAAATTCAATTCTTCTAAAAGTGTATGATAATTATTTAGATGGTGTGAAAAAGTTACTGAGGTGTAAATTACCCATTGATAAAGAGTCTTTAAGATATTTTGCATCCAGTAAGACTAATTGTTTCTCACAATCCAAACAACAAAAAGAATAGCATTTCAGAGAAATGCTTTGAGGAAAAAGCCATGTTTCCTGGAAGAACATTTTCGAGAAACAATGGAGCCTTAAAGCCATTTGGGTTACCTGCGGTTTGCTATAGGTTGCCATCAAATAGTTTAAGGTGTATTCCTTCATAAAAAAGTTGGCACCTGCTCTCCATCCACCTAAAGCATATAAATGCATAACAAAAGGTCATTGACTTTAAATTCCTCCAACAAACAAGAAGGAATAAGAAGACACATTGGGCTCTTCCAATGTGGTAGATCCATTGTGCTAGCAAAAGAGAAATCATAAATGATAGCAAACATGAAGTAGAAACAAAGGTTACAGTAAACTAATAATGTAACTTATTAACCTTTTAGACCTAAAGGATCAGTACTATCTGGTATAGACAAGAAATGAATGAATCCATACCTGCTCTAATATCATGTACCACAGCCGCAACATCTCCACCAGCACAAAATGCTCTTCCTTTCCCCTATTGACAAATAGACAGCTATCAGGTATATACTCTTCATGCTAAAACATTGGCTTGCAAAATCAATGAAGGAACCTAGTCTTACCGAAATGTTAAGTCAAATATGATGAATTTTGTACCTAGCGATTTTTCCAAAATCAATATTAAAAGCTTACTTAACTCACAAAAATTAACTAAGTCTTTCAGCACAACCATTAAGGAATACCGATGGTCAAAACTGAGCAGACAATGTCCCTCTAAAGTTTACTCTGCCAATTAAGTGGCACAGATGAGAAGTAAATTCCTATCTGACATTCACCTAAGAACCATATATGATTAATAAAGCTAATATGTAAGCCCAATTATGCTTCCAAAAGGAATGCTGACAGAGATTAGAAATTAAACAGTCATAATTGTTGACTATCTATGACCAAGCTGATATGAAGAAAAAGTTAAACAAAATTCATAGAGCCTTTCCATTGGACATTCTAAGAATAAGTAAGTAAAATTGCCAAACCCAAATGCACTGTCAAACAATCTGATTGAGTGACTTGAAAGGAGATGAGAGCATAGGCCAGGCACTCTTGTATGCAACACCAAAAAATGTCATCGGACTCAAATGTCTTACGATTTCATGTTACTTTTCCTTTTTTTTCAAATTGTTTCTTTTAATAAAGGAAAATGATACTATGTATCTTCATAGGTGTGTAACTTCAGTATAACCAGCTTGATATTAGGATCCTCCTCATAGGCAAGAAAAAGTTCTAATAACCGAGAAACCTACCATTGAAATAGAAAACATTATTACTATTTTTGTTTCAAACAATTAATGTGACTAGAAGGCCTTTGACAGACAATTTAAGATAGTCATGCAGAAAATATAGAAATAGATAAGAAAAGCATGATTACAAAGTGCATGGTACAAATACTGAATAAAACAGTTTATTGGAAAGAGAAATTGATAGGCTATTGTAGTTTATGATTGACATAGAAGACATGCAAAAGAAACCATATGAACTAGAAGTTACATAAATAACTAGGAAAAAAAATGTTTGATCCAATGTTCTCCATACATGCACCTAGGCATGCGTAGGCATTAAGAATTAGCAATAGACAACAATAGCATTTCAGAACCTTTTGGGCAAGACACATTTAATCAAACCACATCTGATGCACCTAGGCACTCTTTTCCAGTGAGGTAGCAGGCTCAAAAAAATCGATCTTGATATCCTCTCAAGGTTTGAGAAATATGCATATTGGTCAATAAAAGAAAAACAAATTTGAATTCGTTGGTAGGATAAAATGGGCAATTCCTTATAGTTTATATCATAATCATATAATTTATGATTTGTATATAGTGCACTATTAGTAGAGTAAATCATAAGATGCTACCACATTAATAAGTATATCATAATCATGTATACACAGATATGCATGCAAAACTAGACATATACTCGAAGGAAATTACAAAACAAAGACTTGTATCCTAAATCACATTGTAAAGCACAAGGTTAATTCCCAAATACTGAAAGAGTTGAAGCGCCCTATTAAAGAACACATCATACCATCTGAAATGAAAGGGCATTGAGTTGCTTAGGCCGGTTTAAGGTTAGAAAATAACTCTCAAGAAACTCTCTAGATTCTCTCTAGTATTGGAAGAAAGCTAGAAT